CCCCTCTCGACTTTTTTCCCACTTTGATGTTCCTTCCCCTATGTGAAGACTGAAGTCAACTAAAGGGCTAATGATAACCATCAAGACGCCTGCCATTTGATATAAATAAATAAATATATCCGGATTAAGAAGACAATATGTGCAATATAGTTTCAGTAGATGTGCGTAGCTGATAAACGCGGCAACCACTCTCGTGAAGGTCACAACGCTATCATGATAGCACAAAGAAATCTCATATGCACTCAGACAGACTCGAAGGTGCGGCCGTAATACTTGTCTCGTCGGGCGCAAGTATAGTCGTGAGTCTAAAGAACTCCAAGCCAGCCACCAATCAATAGTACTTGCATGGTTTAGCAAACCCTCCATTGTATTTTAATGACTACGCTCCGTGTGTCAGCAACACAAATCCCAAATAAACGCTTTCCAGCTTGTACGACTATCCCCCCCCCCACATTGTCGAGGCGACTTGCCATAGCGACTAGTGAGCATAGGTCAGGGCTTATTAGCGAAGCAATCAAACAATTGGAAAAGGCGATCATAATCAATTACGAGTGAGAGTTAGATAAGAGGGCGAGAAAGCGTAATGGCATTAAGGGAAATATTTACGTGTTAAATTAAATAAGAAAAAGGCCTTAAAAAGAGCAAAAGTCAGAAGCGACTTGACAGCTCTGCTTAGTTAACGAGAGTGCAACTATCAAAGCTAACCTGTGCATACACGTTTTAATTACCATCTGGGTAAATAATGAAATTATGAGTTATAATTACCCTCAATTATAGATGGGCGTCACCTTAGGACCTACAGTTGATAATCAGCGTACAGCCTTGAAATGTAAGGATTTAAACCGAGTTCAGCCAACCCAGACTGAAGTAACACAGCGGTGCAGCTCTTTTTAAGAGAACACACATCAATAAAATTGCAGAATAAAACGTAAAAGTACTTTGTTAGCAAATGCATTGCTGAATATAAGCTTCAAGCAAATATGCCCATTATTTTGTCTGCCAAGATAGGAAGATAACGCCGTAATAAAGCACAAGAATTTAGACGTCACGATTTCAACAAACACACCAAACATTATGACTTGATATGAAAGTCATAGGGGTCGCCGTTCAGCATGGAAGATAACAGGGCAACTCTCCAACTATTGGATATTTCCTACAAATTCGACTATTAGCAGTGAAGATAAATCAAATTAACAATAACAGTTCTCATACTTTACCGATTCAACCTTCTCCCTTATCGAATGAAACAACATTGGCCCCCATTTTCGCACACTAAAGAAAAATACTTGCATACGATATTTCTCGACATTTGCTAACATTGGTATCTCACATCATCTGTGTTGGTTAAAGTATTGCTTTGATAATGGTAATAAATCAAATTTAGCATGAAGATACACCACAGAGTAAAATGGAGGCCCTCATTTCTAATAATAATAATAATAATATTTTTGCATTTAAAAGACGCATTACATCGGAATCCTATTGTTAAAAGTGGGAAAAACAAACATTTTTTAGTTCACAACTAGAAAATTTTAGAAATGATACTTCACAATTATTTTTTTAAAAAAAACTAAGAGAAATTAATACAATTAAATACGCGTGATTACACAACGGTCGTCGGTATACCTAAATCCACCCAAGGGGAGATGCATTTAAATCCAAAGGATGTCACAAAGAAGATGACTCGTCACGGTTAAAGTACCCTCGTCTTACTTCCACGCTACCTTCTTTGGTCCAGAAGTCATTCAAAGTCTGTAGGACTTTCCTTCAACCAGACAAGTCGGTATAAGGGGACTAATGAAAGTACGTATGCATACAACGATTCAACATGAAAAAAAAACTGACTTGAAGTGCTCATTGTTTCAATTTAACATATGATACCACGAAGAAGCCATGAGCTTCACTAAAATATTGTATAATAAAAATAGAGAGAAGGTCGGTGTAGGAAGCGTATGAAGTTGAGTAGACAAATTGAGCGTGCTGTAAAATCACCGCGTGTGGATTTTTGGATCAAAGATCAACATACGTGTTTATTAAGAGTGCTCTAATTATGGAGGGGGGGAATCGAAATCATACAAAGAACAGCAGCCAATGTGTATGGACGACTACTATTCAGTTCAAGCCTTCTCTAAAATCTAAGGGGGGGGGGGGGGTAACGTTAGAGGCAAAGGAGATAAATCACAATTGCCATCAGCAGTTTAAAATTGTGCTCAAAGAATAAAAAGATGACCATATTTTTTAACACACTTGAAGGAATAACACCAGTCGAAACCAAATGCACTATAAATATGGCCAGCTCTTGGGCTCTAACCAATAAAAAAAATAATTTGGTGAATAAATTAAATGGAAAATAAGCCTTTAGCAGTACATAAACCTAATTTTTTTAAAAAAATCCGAAAATCAAAAAGAATCGACATAAAAATATTAAACTATTCAATAAATATTTCCGTTGAATACTTTCTGGGACATTTAAGTAAATTTGTCCGCATGTAGTGCACACTATCACTCTAATGGATGTAAAAAAAAGTTTCAATGGGCGGTGGATAATTGACAGTAAAGTCATTGCAAAGTGCCCTTTTATTGCCAACTTTCATTGAAATTCAATGTCAATTGCATAATTTTTGAATGTGAATTTGCCCATAAATAACTCACCAAGTAGATTTTTTTAAAACAAATGCTAAAATGTTAATACAAACCTTTGCAAAGATGGACGCAGCACTGACTATTGGGTAGGTTGCATCAGCTTTGCTTTCAACGACAATTTTCAAGTGAGGGAAGATCGAACTCAAGTACTTCTGATATATTTCGGCTTTGCCAACGGTGTCAACATAAACCTAAAAATCAAAAGATCCGTAAAACCTTGGATGGTGGGGGATGAAAACCACGCAACAATTCACCATGGTAATGTGAACTCATTCATTAAAATGTCAAATAAATTTGCAAATTGGTAGTCAGGTGGTGGTGGTGGTAAACTTAACGCCTAAATCATTCGCTTGAATAAAAAAGGTACAACTTGAACACCAGCAGATTGGATTCTAAATTCTGAATGTGAACAAAATAATGCCACCAGTAGGCTTAAATCTGTATCAATAAGGCGAATAAAAAGACAAAAAAAATTGCTGGTGAAATCTGACAAGCTGTTCATCCTAGGTAAAGGGGATAGCCTAGGGGATATTTTTTTTCCTTAATGTCACAACCGATTCTGCTGAGTCATTCATTTTTAACTGAATTTAATTCAACACTTTGGGTTTGTGTCTGTCTATCCCTTTGCATCCTTGTTCCTCCCTCTCTCCCTCCCTCCCTCTGTGAAGCCCGAAGTCAGCTAAATGGCTAACGGTAACTATCATAAAGCCTGCCATTTGAAATAAATTCAATACTCAACATTATTATACTTCGTGGTAGGGAAATAAATTTAAACCAATATGAAATAACTGCCAATAAAAAGAAGGCCAAAATAAATTAGGCCGCATGAATTAAATTTGACGTTTGAATCATTTTAGCACAGTGACAATACCATCTAAAGCTCCAGAAACCAAGAGAATCAAATAAGTGCATACTAATGAATAAAGCATAACACCAAACAGTCATTTTCACACAGTTTATTTGAAAGCTTTAACAGAAGTTATGAATTCTATGACCATCGATGGTTCTACGGTGACTGCCTTCGCAGGTATTTGATTCAAAAGGACGAGTTTAAGCACTAACTGCCGACATGCTCAGAGTGACAATAGCCTCCTCGACTAATTCTGATTTATCACCTATTCAGACGCACATGCTTGTGCGTCATAGTTTTGTCCCATTGGTAGCCAAGTGAGATCCATAAAATCGATAATGCATATGTGAAACAGGTACACACTGAATCACAAAATTAGACAAATATTTCCAGTCACACAAATGTTTAAGGTGGAAAGATTTATCGACTTACCTCTTTCAAATTAACCCCCTGATCCAAAGCAGATCTTATGAGACCAATCGCCGAGTTTTGTGAGATGACGTTGAGGCTGATTTTCTGGCTAAAATAGTATTTAAAGAGTGAAATTCGGTCTGTAGAAGAGCCATTCGAATTAAAAAAACTACCTGCTAAGCATCTTTTCAGTAATCTCCATGGGTGAAATAGCGTGAATGGTATAAGCAACCCAATCGGATTCCTTAAGCATCTCTTTGAGCAAATCTTCACGCTTCACCTCTGTCAACTGTTTGGAATCTTAAATAAGCGATAGCAATTAAAGGAAAACATGACCTCACCAGTTAGGCCCATTTCCTTTAAGGAAGCATTCCTGCTCACTGGTGCAATCGCACAGGCATACAACATTGGACCTAAACAAAAGATATAATTATTACTAAATTAGAATAAGTAGACCATATTTAATTAACTAGAGCATTACCAAGGACAGGTCCTCTTCCGGCTTCATCAATTCCAAGCATGCACGGAGAAGAACGGGATTCTGACGAAAGGCGTTCGATTGATGAATCGATAAGAGTTGCACCACCTCCAGAGAGACATGAATTCAAGAACTTCAGATAGGCTTGCATAGAGGGCGAATCAGCATTTTCGTCTAATTCAGCGGACTTCTGATCAATGGCACTTGAATTTTCTTCGTCAGAGGCCATATTATACTGCTTGAAAAGAAGGAGTACATTTTAGGCATTTATTTCGTGGTTAAATGTACCCATACAGTTTTAGTATAACTTAAAAATATCAGACAAGCCCAAAAAAGTATTTAGCCAAATTTTCGAGTAATTCAATGGTCCTCTTCAAAATGACAGAGCAAACGCCCTCCCAAAAACAATTTAGTATATCGTTAGAGTTTAAATTTAGATTCCTTATTTAGTGAAATGGAATTTATAAAGATACAGTCTAGTCATGAACTCGCACATAGAGCAGTCAGACTTATAGCCTTGACCGAAATAGACCAGGACAAAGTAGCCCATTAAATTCCGTTTCCAAAATATCCCAAAATCTTTTCTGTAGTGTCCAATTACATGAGATAGACCCACACGATATCGCGGAAGCAGACGTGATAGAGCATATTGCTTAATAGCTAGTAATATAGCATTTTAATAATTAAATTAGGAAAAAGCAGTCAAACATGCGCAAACGAATAAGAAATTTAAGCAAATACTACATATGTTTACACTGATAAAATACATTTAAAAATAGGGCTGATAGAGAGAATTGGAATACCAAAAGCCGTCAATGCAATTTTTAAAGTACAAATAGGAGAAAGTGCGTTCATACTTTTCGTTAACATTATTTATTGCTATCAACAGCGATTGACTTTAGTCGGAGTCAAGTTAAGAGCAATGAGAGTAAATTTGAAGGAAATTTATACACGAAAGGAAAGTTTGAAATTTGTACAACGGAAATGGGAGAGGGAGGGGGGGGGGGGGGGGGGGGGGGGAGAAAAAGCATTGAAGTGAAAACTGTACAACACAATAATGATGACTGTTTAAGGTGGGGGAAGGGGTGAAGGTGGGTTCTCCCACAGACCCGCTTCACGCATTTTTCGGGTAAAGAAGTTTTCAAGAGAGGAGACGTGTCGATAGAGGTCACTCTCTGGATGATTGTATGTTCGACAATTATGAAACATTCTTCGCATATCCGCGATGAAGAGATTCAAATGTGTATAGTATCGTGCTTTCAAACGTTCCGTCATTGTTCGAAGATCTGTAGAACAAAAGCGCGAAATGAATATCCGATTAAACCAAAATATCGGATATCTTTTTTATTTATCAGCTACCAAAATCGCCTTCATAGGATCATTGTAACGACTTGAACTTAGCGCGGAAGGCAGAGATTTCAGAGCTAAACATAAGGAATTAAACCGAAGGCTAAAAGAAATGAACTATACTCTGAGCATAATTAGCCCTAGAAAGGACAATTGATAGAGGACGACGACTTCACTTAATGGAAAATTTGAAGACGTTTGATGTACAAGGGGTTATTCCAGTAGGGAAAATAAGTTTAATCCTGTTAGAGGTAGAAATAAACCTATTTACTTAGAAATACAACAGGAAGGAAATAGTCACTTCCTCACAGAAGCTTCTAACTGGTTAGTATAAACGAGCTTTCCTCATTTAACACTTCTGTAAAATTTACGTCGATCGGATGGTCGGACCAACAAAAGAATAAAAACAACCAATTCCATTTCACCCTACCTCCCTTTACCACAACCTCGCTTCGAGGTGCCTTTGTTTCTAGTCCTTCTAATTTCCCATTTTTATCATAATGCTTCAATTTACTCAAATTTCCTACCACATGGTATTGCTGCAAGCTTAGCACATTAATGTAAGCGCTAAACTCGATTAAAGAAAAATGAACTATAAAAGAAAAAAATACTCTCATGAAGGACGGAGAAAATTCGTGCTTTATCAATCACTCCAAAATTAATAATTAAAGATAATTAACTGCAGGAATTACGTGTACACAATTCAACTCACCGATGGGAAAAGTGATGATATTAAAGTATCCAGGTGCTTCAGCAGGCGTAACCGGGGTTAGGAAGGGACCAGCAAATTTGTGCGCCTTAATAGCCTCCAACACGGGACGAATTCGTTCAGCCAGCGCATCCACTGCTTCATTAAATTGCTTCACCTCCTCTCTATGACGCAATTTCTCTGCCGAGGAAATTTGTTGCGTTGTCATTGGTGGTGGCTGAGGAGATATTTGAAAACTCGAAGGCTGATTACATTCGCTACTCTGAAAATTTCTCCTATAGGTAAGCAGAAAAAATCTGTTAATACAGGATACTCAAGGTAAGCACCCAAGCGCAGTTAAAGCGTTAAATTAAGAGATAAAGAGGCTTTAATAAGGCACTGCCGCTGTTATTCATTGTAACAGATTGATGGGGATTAAGAGATTGAAAATGCAGGGTGGGAGAGGAAAAATTTTACTTACATTTCGGACTCCTCCACCTCACCAAATGACTCGCTTTAGGAAATAAACTTTGAAATACATTGCAAACCTACTACTTAATTACTAACTCAGTAGATACAACTGTTGCAACTCACCCTGAACTAGCTCGGGTTCGCCTGGCGATTGTATCATCCTCATTACTTTCACTGGCCCCACGGAGTTGCCGTGTACGGCGAATGGTTGGGAATTTAACTTGTGTAAAACCTCCGTCCACTTCCATCGATTCGAGAACAGTATGATGTGGAGAATGTGAAGGAGCGACCTGTACACTCAGGGGTTCAGTTACAGAAGTGGTTGGAGGAACTTCTGCAGCTTCCGTAGCCGGAGTTTCTCCAGGAGAGGACACTTCCATAGCAACGAAATTAGAGGTTACTTCTGTAGTTTCAACGAGTGTTTTTGATTCCCCATCGCTGGCATCTGCTCGCCAACCAGATTCAATCAATCCGGGAATAGAAGACAACGGGATAGGCCCAAACCTAAATTGAGAGTTAGGAATACCAGGATAGACTGTCTCCAAAGCCCGTTTGCGACGCTCAATGATACGACTGATTATCTAACCAAGACAATAACATAATTAATGACCCTTTCTTCTTGTCCATCAGTTTAAGACTTATTCAATTTACACTTACCTCTCTTTGGCGACTAATAACCTCGGAAAACTGTGTATAGACCACATTAGGGTAGAGTTCACATCCCATAAGATCCGCTCCCTCATACTCTTTGATAAAACCCAGGTAAATTTGTTTAGGTAAACGAATCTCTTTTGAGAAACCTTGCTTTCTGAAATATCCCACTGCATGGGAGTCTGCGTAAGTGAGAAAATGATATATTCCATGTTGAGTATGATAATCTTTAAGATGGTTCATCATCTGAGTTCCGTAACCCTTTTAAAGAGAAAAGTTGGATAGTTAGCAAGTAAATAAAAATGAAGGCAGCAGTAGATAAGAGTTTGGAAGGAATTTACCTTGACCTGTTCATTGAAGATAACAGCACAGAAAACAATTTCCGAGAATCCTTGAGCCATAAACATGCGGAAAGTTATACCCCCGATAGGATGTCGATCACCATTCTCAGAAACTTTTAGAAGAATTAAGTTCTTGTGTTTCCTAGAAGATGGAAAAGGGGTTTAACAATCATAAAATAAGCCAACTAAAGGTGAGTCAAACGTACGGATCAAAGACAAGACGAGTAATGTATTCCTTGGGCATACTGGGAAGTTGAGTGGAAAAAACATTGAGAAGTTCCAGTAGCCAAATATATGAGGAAGGCTCCTGCTGTTGATTGAGACTGTTACTCACCACGTGAAACTCAATGGTACCTGCTGATTCTTCTCTTCGTGCAGCGGCGTCACGAGCAGCCAATAGAGAACGTAACTAGAACATGGGAATAGATTGCTCAATATTAATTAATTTTTCCCACCTATTATGTCAGCTGACTATAGTAAGACTACTTCAATTTTTATCACCAAAAAAATGAAATATCTGCTCCGCTACTTCGAGCAAACTATCGATTGTGATATTCTAGGGAGATATAACAACCCCTAAGCTTTAGAAAAGGTACACAGACACTTTTCTTGACAACTTCAACCCTATGAAGACATTCAAATTGGCATAGTCTCAGATGTATATATTCTTTTGCTGTTAACGTTAATACAATTTAATATAATGCAAAGAACTCTGAACGATTCTTAAAAAGATTATTTCAAAGTTATTCAGGACAAGTAGATCTAAGATATAATAATAAAATAGTTAGAGCGGAATATAGTTTAATTCAAAGTAAAGCGACGAAATAATACAACTAAATAAGGTTTAGCGTTAGTGTCCAATCAACCGTCAACAAGTTGATAATAAAACGTGCTTATGTACAGCTAAGACGAGAAAATACATCTCAAACCATTTACCCGCAGTATGTAGTAAAATAGCACTTTTGACTCAACAATTTCATCTGTCTTTACTACTTTTAGTTATTCTACAAATTCTATAAGTTAAACACAAATTTCCATTCCGAAAAGAGGTTGTTTGACTAGCATAACGTATGTTAACTTTAAAAAAAGCCAATTTTAAGGAATACTGTAAACTTAAAGACTAAATAGCAAGATTAAGACTGATGACACTCACAGCTGGAGAAGGTAGGAGATTTCGGCCAGCATTTTGGTCATCCTCCAGTTCCTTCACAACTTCTTCCAACTCCTTGGCGTTAATTTCTCCAAAAAATGAGGAACAAGAACCAGAAGAATCCCTCCTAAGACGCTTTCCCAAAGGTGTTTGAAAATCTCCCGACACCGGGGTATCCATTTCTAATGGGCGCCTTTGGCAACTCTGTGGAGTACTCATAAGTTTAGTAGCACTTCTAGTTGGATAGAGACACATTGAACTTTCACCATGATTACGATGCCTCATGAACTTCTTTTTGGGAGTTGACGGAAGATAGTCTCCGGTATCCATTTCCTCTTTAATCAGTGTCTGATCGATATCTTCACCATTTTCATCAACTGAATGTTTACTTGCAGGTTTGCAATCAACAAACACAGAAGATGGATCACCCAAAATTCCCGAATCTTCTAGTTTTCCTGAGGCTGAAAATGGTCTGAAGAAGGGATCCCAAATAGGAGAATTCAGAACACGAGCCTCACGCTCTAGTTCTAAGATAAAAGCCAGAAGTTCTGAGGCGAGTTTACTATTTTCTTCTCGCACATTATCCAGAAGAACTGACTTCAAATCAGTTAGGAGAGCAAGAAAGAAGTTTTTACCGAAAGCACTAGAAGGTTCAAAATAGGGATAGGTAGTGCAAAAGAGTGGCACATAACAGTGGCATATCCAACGCATGTAGATAAGACGATATCCAGTGATATTTTCATTCTTTTGCTTGCGATTTTTGGGGGCTTGGAGACGATGGCCATTTAGGAAGGTGAGTACAAGACGACCGATATCAATATAGAGTGGTGCATCATGAGGAGATGCCGCAAGTTTTCGAATAATAAGATTTCGTACGGCAGTAGCAACACTAGGTCTCTCGAAAGGTGGTAAATCATCCACATGGGGATGGCTACGATTTACTAGAGCTTTGCGTAAACGCTTAAGCATACAGAAGTATAGTTGACGAGTTTCCACATCTTCTTCATCTGAACAGAGAAGGTAAAGCGTCTCAAGATCTTCAACCATTTGCACAGCAAGGGCCTCAATCCAAGAAGAAAACTCTGAGGAAAAAATCTCTCCACAATGTAAATGACCACAGTGAAGGCATTCAAATTGAGAATCCTCAAGCTTCTTGGATGACCAGTTGGTACATTTGCATTCCAATTGCTAAATAAATAAGAAAATGGCTCCATAAATGAAATATAACGATGAAAGAAAAAATATATACAACTATATAGAATTAGAACAAAAGTAATGAAACAATTCAATTAAAAATAATAACAAAATAGTATAAAGGACAATGACTTCAGAATAGATAAGAAAACTAAAGCGTAAATTAAAGGCAGTCCAAATGTATAAAACTAGGATAAATTTAGTAAAAGTTCACCGTGTATTAAGGTAATTTAAGAATCTACTTACCTGACAGGGAATATAGGGCAAGACTTTCAAAACCTTTTCTGTATATGATAAGCTTGATATATGTTTTCGGCGCTCGAATAGCTTATTTCGTTTATGATTAAAGGAAGACATTACGAAACCAGAATATCCTCTGGAGAAGGTTTAAATCGGCAGTCAACAGCGAACCTAGATGCTTATTGAAACAGTTAGAACATTTAAGTTTGATAACTAATTATGTCTTTAATTAAGCTATTTTTTATATTAATAGTCTTTAATCTAGATGGAATTTATTCTGAATGTATATTTCAAAAATAAGTAATGGCAGTTGCTTTTGAAAGTTCCTATATACGACAAGTTGATACATTTGAATTTCAATTGCTAAATAAAGAAAATTTACTACATAATTGAGTTATAAAAATTCTAATAATAAAAGTTAGATCTAGTTCAGTCAGGAAAATACATTAAACTAAGAAGTCATATTGTGAATTTGAAGATATAATAATATTAATAATATGCATTCTGTAAACATGTCAAATACAGTAAGTGTAACATAATTTCAGAATCAAGTATTTAATATTTAATTAAGAGTTAAAGAATTGCTTAAAATCTTTAAAACCAAATTTAACTTTGTTTAAGCAGACCATATTTTCTTTACACTCTGCTTCGATTGTGTTCGTGAAGTTTCGCATTGTGAGTTTTGTCTAGTTATTAATGATTTTCTTGTATATTAATAGTAAATATATGCTCAAAATGTCGCGTAAATCGACATATTTGGTGAAATATGTGATATAATCACATTTAAATAGGTAAGCTAGTTCGCCTAACTCCATGGCATTCAATTTGCCATGATAGCCATATTTTATTCTTTCTATCTTAATTATGTTTATAATATGTCATTCTTAACATGCAAATACGACTTAGCATTGTCTTTGTCTGGTTTGCAACAGTTATTTGTTGTTGAAAGTTCTGGTACGTTCAAATTTATACTTTTCTATATTGTACTGATAATCTTATTCCCACCAAAGGTATCATGTCAGAAGCTCAGGAGGTTGCTGAAATAAATTATGAGGAACAATATCGGTATGTGGTTTGTAATCAAGTATCCAGTTAGTCTTTTGTGTTTTTTATTTTACCTGCCCGCTTTTTAGAATTCTCTCCGAGGAGAACAAAAAGCTATCAATTGATATTGCAAGTTTGCAGTTGAGTAATCGCAGTTTGGTGAATCAAAATCGTGATGAAAAAAAGAAGGTTATGGACTGTCGTCTTCAAATTAGTGATTTAGAAAGTCGATTGAAAACGTTGGATAGCCTCAAACTTGAACTTTCAGAAACCCAACTTCAAGCGGAGCGTTTGCGTCAAACACTTGACGCAAATGAAAATAAACTTAATATCACTGAACGCCGAGCCACTGAAGCCGAAGGTCTTGTCAAGGTAAATTCCAATAATTTGTTCTATCAATTCCTTACTAGGTAAAGGATAGTATTATTGACAAACAGAGGAAATTTTCTAAAGAATTAGAAGAGAATGTTCAGAATTTAACCGGTGAAGTAGATAATTTAAAGTTGCAACGTGCTAAATTAGAAGCCGATTTGAGCAAAGCATTGGAAAGAGCGGAAGAATGTGACAAATTGCGGGATGCCCTGGCATCTAAAACAGCCTTGTTGGATGAAATTGCCCAATCGTAAGTCAATTTTTTTGCGAAATTTTGTAACCGTTGAGTTTTATCAGATCTGAGGGTGTTAGTGAAAATGGTTTGGCTGCTGCAAATCAGTACTTTAAAGAACAGGAAGCAAAGTTGAATGAAGAGTTGGCTGGAGTAAAACAGGTTAAGTTTGAATTGGAGAAAGCTTTGAGGGAAATGACTGTTGAGCGCGATAATCTCCAGGCTAATGTAAGTACACTTCTTTCTTCTTACTTTTTGGTTATTAGGTTGAGGAACAAAGCCACAATATTGAGCAATTGAAAGAAAAGTGCTCGAACTTGGAGACTGCTGTTAAGGAATCCAGAATTTCTGATAAGCGATCCAAAAATGATATGGTAGGTTTAATTGTTGATGACTTATTTGATTTAGAATTCCCGTTTGATTGGTCCTGCGTTACCGCCTTGGTTACTTGAAGAAAAGAAGCCTGATCCTAATGAAATCGAGAAACTTAATAATACAGATCCTGCTACTCTTCGTACTCGCGTCATTGATTTGGAAGGAAAAGTGCACGAGCTGAAACAACTTGTCACTTATCGAGAAGATGTTATTTTGCGTATATACCAGGTAAACACCTGTTTTAACTATTAGTGTTAGCCTTTGTCGATCTGCATGAAACGGTTGTTTCGGCTTTTGCAGCAAAGGTATATTTAATTGGGGTTTTTCGTGGTATTCAACTCCTATAATGGATTTTTTCCTAATATTTTCTTAGTATGAATCTTTTGTTTAGGTTTGCATCTTTTTGTTAGAATCGGACACATCCTTGCCATTCTTGAAATGTATAGGCCTCAAAACTGTCAAATCAGTTTTTGTGTAAATAGGGTCAATATGAATTAGTGAGTGGTTTGTTAATGTCTTCCCTGCTTTTATGGATCTGCACTGAATTTTTCTTTATGCTTTGGTTCTTTAGTACATTTAGGATTACTAATTCGCCTCCCATCTACCGAAAAATACTTTCCGTTTGCTTTCATCAAGAATGTAAAATTTGAATAATTATAGGTTATTGTGTTAAATATCCTTATTTCAGGTGGCAGTGAATTCTGTTATTATTTGTTTGTGATATATGTACATATATAAATTTGTTTTATAGGAGATTCAGAAGAAGTCCTCTAAACTTGAGGCATCGGAAGTAGAGCGATCAAGCCTGTCTGTTCAAGTTGGTATTCTGAAGAAGGAGCTTAGCTCACTTCGAGGAAGCGGTAGACGATCAGAAGGCGGATATCCACCTGAGATTGAAATCGAAATCGAACGTCTTCGAGGTAAGCGTGATCGTGAATATCAACGTAGAAAGCGTGCTGAGGCTGAAATGGATGAGATGGAAGCGGAGTTAAATGAGATGAAAGAAAAGGTGAAGAAAATGGAGGATGAATTAGCTGAGATAACAAATGCTCCTAAACCAGTAAGCAAGATTTTCTCAACTGCCTGTCATCTTATTAAGCTTTTGTTCCTATCTCCACTTTTTCTATTGCAGGTTATTCATGCGGGTGACCCGGCCGATAAGGCACGTATTGCCGAACTACAAAATGTCGTTAATCAACTTCGCTTGGATAACGAATCGAAGCGCTCCGAGCTCTTTGATCTTAGATCACGTTTTGAGGAAAAATCTGCGGTTTTAGAAACACTTTCCAACGATGTAAGTTTTCAAGTTTTTAACTAAGCTTTATTATTTTCGATAAATTTAATTAAAGTGTTGGGGGAAAATTGTGTAGAAGCAAACTCAATCTGATGGCCAGAAGGTCTTCCCTGTTCGCACAAGAATAGTGTCTAATCAGTACTTTATTTAACAGGACTTTTTAGTGGTTTATTCACAGTTTCTATCAAGACACTAGTTGCTTAGATATTGCAATTGCGTTAGTAAATTTTAAGTATCGATTCTACTCTTGAAGAATCATGCATTTGTCATGTGTAACCTTTATAGGTAAAAGCCAAAGAACGTCAAATTGCTGATCTGTCGACTGAACTTGCCACTAAAACTAGTCAGTTGGAAATGACGAATAAGGAGCTAGAATCCGTTCGTCTTCGTGCCATTCGCGGTGGTGTGGAAACTGAACGCTGGGAGATGGATTTGAATAGTGTTCGGACTTCTAATCGTTTTCTCTCCCAACAGACCAATGAACTGCGTCTTCGTCTTACTTCAACTGAGGAACAGTTAAAAGAAGCTCAAAAACAACTTTCTGTGCTTAGGAATGGAGGAGGTATGTTGAGATTGCAATAATTTCATTTGATCTTATAGTTTTAGGAGAAAGTGCTTCGCTAAATGGTCATTTGGTTTCTGAATCGACTGAGGATGTTGCAGAATTAAAGTCACAGCTTGAAAATGCTAAAGAAACTATTGCTAAATTGGAGGGAGCGAATTTGGAAGCTAGTGAACTTAAGACTGAATATGAAAACTTGAGTAAACAATTCAAGTCACTCAAGCAAAGTATCTCAACGAATGTAGGTTTTTTTAATATTCATCTACTCATCGAATTTTATTATTTACCTGTACCTGGCTTCTATTTAGAATTCCTCTGACTCAAAACGCGTTTCCCAGTTGTTATCTGATTTGAAAAAGGAACAGGAGTCTTCCGCTGCTTTCGCGGAACGTTGCAGCCATTTGACTAAACAGTTAACTGAGTTAGAGATCACCCTGAATGAAACTCGCCAGCGCTTGAACGAATCCTTGAGTGAAAACCGACGAATCGATTCAGAACATTCTGGCACTCAAGATCCTCCTATTTCTCCTCCTACCAAACGTGCACGACGCAGTACTCGTTCAAGTAGCAATTCCGCTTCACAGGTAAATAGTTCATTTTGGCCTCTTATCCCTCTTTTGTAAGTCAGCAATTTTCCTCTTCATTTGGTGAACGGTGTGCTTGTTAGTGGGAAAGCGAGTGACTCAAAGCCAATCTGAGTCCGTGGTAACCCCCCCCCCCACAACGACAGAAAGTTGAGGACATCCTCTCCTGCTTTCTATATTTTCGCATCAATTTTGCTAAGATGAAATTGTCATTGCTTTTCACTTTTTAGGACTGTACTTCCTGCTCAGAACTGAGACGCCAGGTCGACTCGTTGAAGTCCGACCTTGCTGAAGCAAATGCGAAGATTGAAAGCTCTTTTTCTGAGGTTTGTTTCTATTTCAAAACTCTTAGGCAAAACAGATTAGTTCCTGTCTTAATGCTATTCTTTTAACCACTTTAGTTTCAAGAATTACGAACCAAATTAAGCACAACAAGCGAAGAGGCCTGTAAACTTCGCCTGGAAATCACATCTCTTCACGAAAAGATGGCTGCTGGAAGTATTAGTCTTAAGAAACTCCGCCATACTGCTTATGCCTTCTTGGAGGATACCTCTGATCCGGTTTTGGGTGAACAACTACGTCAACAGCTCACTGCAACGGAGTAGATTGGCCATTCTAATGCATGTAGCACCTTATACCTAGCATTTGTGTGTGTTTATGACTGTGTTTATACTTCCTAAACAAACATGATCTTATGTGAATTTCCCACTCCCTCCCAACCTTACATCCATTTCGTGTAAAATATTTTTGATGAAGTAAATGTTTATATACCCATTTGGCTTCATTTTCTTGACTCGAACGTTATGTTTTTCAGGATAGCTAGATGCGTAAAGCATATATTTAATTTGAAGTCTAAGATTCGTTTTTTTCTAGGCATCTAGACGGTTTTCGAGTTTTGCAGTAGGATGTATCCTACGGCAGAATATGATGTTTGTGCCCACAGCAAAGATCCGTTTCTGGAATCGAATGCAGATTGCTTTGGGAATTCTAGGGAAGCCAGTAGATAAAGGCGAGGGTCATTTGGTAGGTGTTGACTCAATGGGGAATCGGTATTTTGAGGAGGACCCTGACAAAGAGAGCCTGGTCCCACATCGTGCAAATAAGCCGAAGAGGTATTTTCTACTACCTGGTCAGGTTAGCCCTGAGGACTCGTGGCTTCAAATGAATGCCGGTCAGTTTCAATCTCGATTTCTCTCTAACATCTTCATATCCCATGGGATAATTGTTTTTTTTTCTGTTTTTCGTGTATATATTAAATCATTAGATTCGCAAATTTTAATTTAGTAATGGACTCCTTAAGTCTAACACCTGTTTAGTTATACTCAATCTTGAACAGGTTATTGATTTGTGAATTTGCATTAATTTGCTAAGATAAGTCTGGCACCTTAATAAATAATGATTTTATGGAATTGCCTTCTATTATTCTCTTTCTATTTCCATGATAATTATTGCAATTTTTGATTAATTCTTTGGTTTTAGCCAATGATTTCAATCGGGTATTTTGGTGGCTAATATTTTAGGGAATAGAGATGCTTACTTTGACTTATACACGCAGGATTATTGATTGCAAATAGGGGGGGGGGGGGCTGGTTAGGTCAAACAAATTTAAGTCAAAATAATGCGGGCAAGTGTCAGCCTAGTAAAAAATCAAGGTTAAAATTGTTTATGCTAATATTTTATTCCTCTCCCCCCCCCCCTCGCCTCCCCATATAGAACTACCTCGATTACCGAGCGAGTGGGACTCCTGGTTACGCCATAGACGTCCTGATCCACCAACGGAGGAAGAGATAGCTAGAAATGCAGCTGCTGCTGAAATGCGAGCTATTAAGGGCCGTGAGTTTGAGGTGGGTATCCTTTGTCTTCTTCATTTTATTCCCTGGTTGATTGAAATTAACATTTGGTTAGTTCGACAAAGTACCTAATTCAATTGTGCCACATGTTCACCTTGCAAGTTTTCTATTAACCTACTGTGTTCTTGGTTGAAAGTGTACCTGCATCTGGATTTGGAAATTCGAGAACTTTCATTCCATTTGTTTGGTAATCTCAAGTATTTCCTTTATCCTCATCACAACATCTGCTTTTCCCCTCGCTCTTTTCACTCTTGGTGTTGCAAGGCCATCAGCATCCAAGCAATACCATTGGGTATTCTTTAACAAGCTAGTATTCGTGAGTGCTTGTTGGCTGGAGTACCTTATTCATCTGTGATTTGGAGTTCAATATTGTACCTCTGCGAATATATGCCAACTTTCATCTTTGTCATTTATATTGATTTCTTATCCCTTTTTCTCATCATTATCTACTGTACTTTTTATTAGCTTAGAAACTGTGACCTTGAATACATGTGCCTATTTTTACCAATGAACTCCTTGTTTTGGTTGAGCGAACACGCTTTTGAGGTCGATTCTAAGCCCTTGCAAGATTTGCTAAAGTTTGATAGTTGGTGATATTTTTTGACCCTTTTGCTATCAAGACACGTACTCTTTGTTAACTTTTTTCATGCAGTCAACTTTCTTTCTCCCTTAATTTCTAAAATAAACATGTTTTTATAAGTGTGAAAAATCGTGTTGATGTGTTAAATGACTCTTAATTTGATTAAAGTTATTGCTGCTCGTGGTTTGACTAATCATGACTGCTATTATTGTTTAATCTCTTGATTTATTTAATTTTTGTCATTTTACAATCTACGAAATCCTGTTACTTTTGTAATTCGTAATCCATATGGTCTAATTCTATCGTTCTGTTTACTGCCATCTTCCTAGTTTGTATTGACCTTAGAGTCAGTGTACAGTTTTCTCTCATCTGTCCCTTTGTTAAAGCATATAAACTCCCACTGAAATGATCTGCCCTTTTCTGTAGCCACCCGTAAGTGACCTTTTATATTCTCTTGCTATCTACACTGATTGTAATAAGCACAACTCAACGAGATCCGTTTAATCGAGTTTATTTTCATAGTTATGCAGTAACCTGTGAAAGCTGTGCAGTACTTTGTTTACTCAACCCAACTTGCTCATAGTTTAAATAGCAGTACTTTTAATTCCTTTCTTGTTTAGGAGAAATTCAGGGAGGAACTGAGACAAAGATCAGTAAAAGCTGGTGATGATTTGTCTTTCAATTCGTTCTCACCATCAAAAGATTCTACTCCGAAATCATCATCCCAAAACAAGGAAGGCGTTCCTTTTCCCCATCACCCTGGTCTTGAAGTTGGCCCCGGAGAACATCGTTAATTTACGCAATATCTTTGCGCATATTTTTAGAACAATCTATTGTGCCCATCTTTTGCATATACCTGTGTTTGTCATTACTTTTGCCTTTTTGTGTAAATTATTGGTTTGCAGTAGTGTAAATGTGCTGAAAGGTGATGCTTTGCAGTTTTCTAAACTAATATTTGATAAGCTATTTTAATCACTGTGTATTTTACAACCGTGTATTTCAGTTGAATCAATTACTTCCAATAAACATTTATGTTGCTTCAATGAGAAGCCAACTTAAACTGGAATGGCTAGATTCATGGTATTTTGCTTCCTAGTAACTTTCGAAAAACGCATAGTGTGGAATGCTTTCATTAAAGGGATCAGTACTCGTTTTGTTAGTTCGTATCGAAGAGACAGGTTTGATAAAGGTGAAATTGGTCGACTCCTATTGGAAGAAGTAAGATCTCTGCATAGTTTAAATTAATTCGAAGACAAATAAAATGCTTTACCATAGATGACTATATGTTTTTTGCACAATAGAGAAAGTTTGGAAGATGAACAGTTGTCCCCAATCTATCGTCATAGATAATGAACATTTAGTTTAACTTTTATTTGCACAGATTTCATTCCCTGAGCTCGGAATTAGCGGTCGTTAGTTTTGACGCATGTGACTGGATGGGCAATGGGGCCATTTCTGCAGCCTTTGAATAACTAAGTGGTTAATCGTTTCCTGCTCAACCGAAAGTGAACCGGTATTATGGTTTAAGCTTTAAATCTACTTCATTTTGCGTCTGAGAAAATTTACCCATCTTATCCATTGGCTGCTAATTACTGTAATAATTTTCGTTAATGACTGCCGAATTTCAGTTTCACACCTGGAGATCAAGGCATGCTGAATAATTTCATTATAAGCATTGCTAGATCCATTTGCTTGTGAATTCTAAATTCTTTCCCCGTGCCATTCATATCCATCAAAGTCGTTTTTTCCTCGTTTTATAACTGTTGGCCAGGGGTGTACGATAGGCTTACCTCCACGTGGCGCACCCTGGACAACGTATACTCATACGGCAAAAAAGTCTATAAACCGGCAGTTGACTTTAAACTATAATGACCCCATGGTATGTCATATTCCACCACTTCTACAGTACTCACCTTACCTTTTCTCTATCTTTGCGCCTACCTGCCTCTGTTACATCATCTGTTCCCCCACTCTAATTTTTCCCACTTTGATGTTCCTCACCTTTGTGAAGCCCGAAGTCAGATAAAGGGCTGATGATAACTATCAAAACGCCTGCCGTTTGAAATAAATAATTATCAATTGGTCAGTATGTGGCTTATCTAAAGTAAATACTGAAAGTAAATGGCATAGCCACTATCATTTGTTGTGGATTAAAGGTACTATATTTTGCATTTAACGTCGAGAGATTAGGTTTATAAAACAAATGGGTCTGAGTAAATACATGTGTGGCAAAAATGCTAATGTCAAAAGTCATAGCAACGTGGTACAAACAAACGAATGAGTCATTAGATGTGTTGTCAATACTTAACTTAAGCAACAAGCCAAACGTGTTAAACACTTTCGAATTCAACTTTGTTTAAATAAATTCAATAAATCTTGTAAAATGAAAGCTGATGAACGTACAATGACATATGGTCGCTAAAATTTGGTCGCATTGCTTAGCAACTAAAGTAAAGACGAGGATAATAAGATACCTGGAATTTACCAAGGGTAATATTATTAATGTTGTCCATCATATGACAAATGGGAAGGGAGCAATGTCAAAGTACCAAAAATGTGCCATTTAATTATTATTCTCTGTGGTTAGTCAACGACAATTCGTCACTTGGGTGCTCGGTTTTTTTCTTTTTGGCCGTTTTTACGCTAAAAAAGTTCCGTCTTGAGAGAGGAAGCAATCTCACAAGATACTCATTAGCAGAGCTCCTTAAGATGTGTGGGCACGTCATCGCATGCCTGCACGCCATGATTGGGAGGTGCG